CCCCCCCCCCCCCCCCCCCACAGCTGCCTCTTGGGGAAATGCTGACCACCAGCCAGTGGGTGGTGAACAATTGTGTTGTGCATCACTTCTTTTGAAAATATGTAATAGATAGATAGGTAATCATTAGTAATACTTCTCTTCCTTTTCTGTCTCAGTAAATAGTTTTTACATGAACCTAGTGCTCTACTTCCATCCTCTCTTTGCCCTCAATTCTCTCTCTTTTCCATTGGAAGGGAGATTTGAGGGGATTGAGCAAACAGCTCACTGGTGGTGCTTAGCTGTCCATCAGGTTGAACCACAAAACTGGTCATATACCCTTGAGAGAATTTTGACAATTTAACACAGTAGAACAACCTTCCCATTTTTTTTAGGGGAACAGCCTTTTCAGAGTCCAAATTGAAATGAATCCACATAACTGTTAAGTAACTAACACATCTACTTTCCTTCTGATGGCACGATTCTCAAATTTCACAGAGGTAAGTGTTTCTCCAAGTATTAATGTTGAAATTCAATTGGTCAGCTACTATATAGAAATTTGAAAAGAACTCAACTGCCATATTTGTCATTGGTTTTAAGAGTTGCTGTTGACTTTAAGATATTTAAAATACACATAATCACAGAATCAACTCAGAATATCAATTTCATTTTCTTCAAAGTAGCTGCTTATTAATAGTTTTATAGTCTTTTGCAATAAGACCTTTTTGAGATGTTCTAAATGTGTAAACTGTTAATTTCCAATGAAAGGAATCAATAAAAAAATGTATGAACGTATCAAATATCTTAAGTCTGAACATTTGACGTAAAAGATGTACTGTTTACGGTAGAGACAAGTCCTATTTATAGGAAAGAATGAAATGACAGGTCCAGCACATCAGAAGACCACTGTCCAACTTACTACTAAAATAAATAGCTAACTGAATTTTTTTTTTAGAAGATCTAACTTACTTTTCTTTTCACGCAGGGCTTGCAGTCTCTGTAACTCCTCTTCCTCGCTATCTTCACTGCTTGTGCTGCTAACATCTAAAACAATATCTCTTTGAGGATCCACTCGAAGAAAGTTTCGGCATTCAAATGTCAAATGACCAGCTAAAGAAAACAAAAATTTAGAAGCACATTAAAAACTAGCAAATATTATCAAAAGCTAAGAGTATTATTCCATTTTAATAAGAGAAAGAAAGCTAGGATAGACTACAATCAATGAATGAAGAAGGAGAACAAACTGTAAATTTCTCCTTGAGAGGCTGTGCAATGGTATTCTAACGGTGCATATTTTTGTTAAAGATTTTCTATTTCTTTAATATTTTATATTCTTCTTCTTCATATTTCTTATTAAAGAAATACTTAATATTTCTTTAATAGTCTCATATCCTTTCAGAAGAAACTACTTAAAATAACAATTTAAAAGCATGAAGAGAAATATTTGGAAAACTATAGCAAGTTCTTCTGTATACTGTTTTTTCCATCTCTCTTCAGTGAAATAGAAGAACATTATTTCCTTATGAAATATAAATCATTTTTAATAATCAGTACATAATACTAATCCTCACTAACACAGGACTAGTATTTTTACTTCTCTAAGTTAGATTGTTATAATCACTACCATGAGTTAGACGCCTTGAAGTTGAATATTTCTACTGGAATAACAATAAAAATAAAACAAATTGAAGATATGGTCTGTGAAAGAATTCAAGTAGCAACAAACTCAGCTTCTCTCTATTAAAGACCTTGAATACAGAAAAAAAAAATGTAGGCTGTGCAATTTAACCATAAGTTTCCTTCTCTTCCAGAAAGCCTTTGACATTGCATCTACAAATAAACCACTGAATCTATATTGATATCCCTATTTCTCTGAAAGACTGGATACATAAGGCAATTCATTGATAAAATTTGTTGGAAGCAAAGTCTGCAGTGAAAGAACAAAGCTTTTTTCCTTCATCCTACTTCACTGCAGTTCACTATGGAGCAGTGTCCACTTCTCCACTGTTCTAAAAATGTGACTGAGTGATTAATAAACTAATATTTTCACTAGAACACATCTATATTCATCAGGAAAATAGTCACAGATGTACTTTCCCTAACACAACATAATGAAAAACCTGTTCCGTAAATCAGCATTTAGCTCTTGCAAGTAACAGCAGCATCAGGCAGCTTGTGATGAAAAGGGCTGGTCTTGCACAGCATCAACCCCTGATAGGGCATCAGGAGGAGGGCAGGCTTTCATAACTCAAAGCACATCTTACAAAGGATACTTTCTTTGTGTAGAAGATCATGCAGATTTTATTTTTATTTTTTTTCAAAACACACTGGACATATCTTGAGCAGAAAGCCCTGCTTAAGCTTGCAATGAGATTCAAAAAGAACACAAATGCTTACCTCACAAGTACAACAGATGTCAAAGACAGTGCTTGGAATTCAAGGTTTCTCAAGCAATTGCACAGCAAATTTAGTACATGTGAATACATCAGCATACAGGTGATTTTTTTGGCTAAGAAACTCAGGTCTTCAAAAATACTCAAGGATATATGGAGAAAGTCTTTTATAATGAGAGCAGTGAGGGACTAGAACAGCCGCAAGGGTGGAGATCCTTTTTTTTTCCCCTCTTTTTCTCCCCCAAAAGTAGTCCCATCATTATAAATCGGAAAAAAAACAAAAAAAAACAAAAAAAAACAAAAAAAACAAAACCCAAAACCAATACTGCACTACCATATTGCTTACTATATAGACTTACGGTAGCCACATTTCTTGCATCCTGCTCTGATGTTATCCTTATTTGCACCTGAAACAGAACATTTCATCAATTACTTGCTACTTTTAAATCTGGCTTGGTAACACCAGTAGACAGACCAGAATGATCACTCTTCTGAATTTTGGCAAAGTCGCTTTCTATGCCTACTTGTGCCCCCAGTTAAGTAGATCATCAAGATCTAACTCAGAAGACAAAATGTGGATCCTGTTACCCACCAAAGGATCAGTGCAATTTTTAAGTCAGCTGAGTCAATTCATAATTCTAAGCAAAACAGCATTTCCAAAAATCAAAGAGTGTCTTTCTATCCAGTATGAAAAATATGGAAAATTAAACAGTTGTATACACAGTTTTCTGTACAACTAGTTCCTTTATTTAAATAATTAACCTAACATAAGAAAAAAACTATGAAATTACAGAACCAGAAATGGGGTATATCAGCTTCAAGAGTTCAAACTTTGATTTACTGAGAGAAGTATCATCTTCAGTAAATCCTACTAAAAGAAACAGAGGAGCCTTGAAATCCCATGGTTTTCTGCAGATCCCAAACCTCAGTGTTACGTATCTTCTCAGTGGTTTATAAACTCTGCAGTCATTATGTGTCTATTTCATAAGTATCTATCTTTAAACCATGAGAAAACCATGAGAAATAAGGGGACAGGCAACATAAAAATAAAACAAAGTGTAAAGGGAAGAGTAAAAAAATGTATCTCTATCTTGCAATGTCGTATCACAGAAATACTCAACAGCATCTGCTGATTGAGTTCACATCTGGACTCATAAGCAAGATTTCATCTTTCATCATTCTGACATACTCAATAAACTCCATCTCTATCAATGTAATCAAAGCAGTACAGAAGGACTCAGTGCTCAATGGAAAGGAAGCGAGCACACGCTACAGAATCTACTATACGTGCAAATGCTTTGTGCAATGCTTTCCAATAATCACCCAGTACTTGATAAGAAAGGCATTGGACTACCTATGGACTACCTATTCAGGTGCAACTTGTGAGATGTAGATTTCTGTAAAGAAAACACACGTTTTTAAGAGAAACAGCAGAGAAATGAGCAGCAATTAAGACACAAAAAGCGTGTGACTGAAAAATATGGAAAAAAAGTGTATAAAAGAAATTTTACATAGCAGCAAAATTAGGAATCCCAACTGAGAATGGAATCTTGCTAGGGCTTGATGATAGTGTCTGAAGAAGTTAATGGCTCTCTAATGACCTAACGACAGGTTTACTCGATCTTGATTATCATCCCCGCACCCATCAAATTCTTGAGATGATAATAAATCATTATTGTTTGGGATTTAAATAATGATGTTATAAACAGGGTTTTAGAATAGAGTAAGTTTCAGGCAATTAAAAGCAAACAAGTAAAGGCTTCCTTCTCTCCACCCACTTCCCCTCTTTTCCAACTGCCAGTTCTCCAAAAAAAACTAAGGGCCTCACTCATTTAGCAGACAACAATATTGCAAAAGAGGTTTTGCAAATCTTTGAACACAAACATAAGACCTCTTCCTTCAGAAACTATCCCCTAAGATGAGAGCAAGAGCAGCTTTATTAAAGAATTGTTTTTGTTAGGTTTTTGTTGTTGTTGTTTAACTCATAGCAAGGTTCAGTCTGACTCAATTTTCTCCAGCCAAATACTCCTCACACCACAGGATCACACAGGCTGAATACCTCGTGGGTAACACGACCATTGCTGCCCATGCTGACTGCACCTCCGCTCTTAAAGCCTTTACTTAAACAACCTAGATGCAGACAGGCGTTAATCTGGGGCACGAGGAGGAAAAACCATGCGGGACGATGCCATTCTCGGGACTTCTAAGGAAGGCAGTGACCACCTGCAGACGGCAGGAGCCAGCCGTACCCTCGCGCACCCACAAGACTGCAGGCGAGGGTCGCGTACTGAGCGCAGGAGGGCTGCTGGAGCCCACAGCCCCGCTCAGCTGCTGGCTCGGCCATGGCGGCGGCACTTCAGCTCCGCAGGCTGGCAAACGCACCGCCAGCCGCTCCTCGCGCCTCGCCTCCCCACGAACGGTGCCGCTGACCCCATCGCTCCCATCTCAGCACGCCGCCCCGCAGCCTCGGGACTCTTCCTCACCCGGCAGAGCCATTGCGAGCAGCGTCCTCCACGCAGCCCGGCCCGGAAACGCCGCGGAGCTTCTTCCCGCCGGAAGGCTTAGCCCGGAGCTCTCGGGCCGCGCCACTCCCGGGGAGGACGGGGGACCTCAGTACCGGGCCGGGGAGACGAGGAGGGACCGGAGGTCCGGAAAAGCCTTCAGATCCTTCCAGAAATAATTCGCTCCGTGATCGCCGTGCAGACCCTGATCGGCGGAGCGCTCCTTTCTCCTTTCCCCTGTTCTGGGCAGTCACACACTTCCCCCGCTCCACTGTGCTGTGTAGAGGCGCCCAAGATGGTGGCGGACTGCGGGCAGTAGCGCGGGTAGGGGAGAAGCGTTGATGTGCATCGGTCTGGGACTGCGTGGGTCTGCCACAACACCCCTTCCCCAGCATGAGCAACATCTACATCCAGGAGCCCCCCACCAACGGCAAGGTGAGGCTCCCTGCGGGCAGCCGGCGCCGTGCTCGCCTTGCCGCGCGGCGGTGCGCGCGCTGCCCTCGGAGGAGCTGCGAGGGAGGGGAGGGCGGGAGCTGCTGGCAGCGCGGGCGAGGGGCAGGCGGCTGATTCTGTCGCTTTCGGCCGCTTGTTATGTTTACCGCTTTGTTATGAATCGGCATTGTCTTTAGTGGTGTTACCTGTAATAAATAGAGCGTGCCACTGGAGATTTAAGGCATATTCTTTTTCTGCGTTGTCTCATTGTGGAAATATTAAAGTGTTTAATATTCTACCCTCTGGTAGTTACTGTGTTATCAGTAGTCTTTTCATCTGAGTTACTTCAGAACCATATCTTAAGTGCTGCAAAACTACATTGGGATATCACAGAATCACAGAATGGTTTGGATCAAAGGTCACCCATTTCCAATCTCCAGCCATGGGAAGTGCTGCTCCATCCTCCCTCCAGCTCAGTTGCTCAGTGCCCCATCCAGCCTGACCTTGACACCTCCATGGATGGAGCACCACGGCTTCTATGGACAGTGGCTCTCCACCTTCTGAGTAAAGAATTTTCCCCATACGTGCAGCCTAAATCTGCTCTCTTTCAATTTAAAACGATCTGCCCTTGTCCTGTCACTGACTACTCACATAAAAGTTGGTTTCCTTCTTGTTTATATCCTTACTTCAAGTACTGGAAGGCTACAGTGAGGTCCCAGGAGCCTTCTCTTTTCCAGCCTGAACAAGATCTGTTACTTCAACCTTTCTTCACAGGAGAGGTGCTGCAGCCTTCTGATCATTTTCATGGCCCTCCTCTGGACCTGCTCCAACAACTCCACATCTTTATCTTGTTGGGAGCCCCAGGTCTGGACACAGTACTCCAGGTGGGGCTTCAAGAGGGCAGAACAGAGGGGTACAATCCCCTCTTTCCCTGCTGGCTGCTCTTCTATTGGCACAGCCCAGAATACACTTGGACTTAGGGTTTGCACACTGCTGGCTGATGTCCAGCTTTTCATCCACACCCAGATGAAATGTGAACATTCCCAGATGTTCACACACAGAACCCCTAAATTCTTTGCAGAAGGGCTGCCTTCAAGGAGTTTTTCTCCCAGTCTGTATGTTTATCTGGGAATGCCCCAACTCACATACAGCACCTTGCACTTGGCCTAGTTGAACCTCGTATGGGCCCCACTTTTCAAGCCTGTCCAGGTCCCTCTGAACGACATCCCTTCCTTCTTTCATATCAACTACACTACTCATCTTGGTGTCATCAGCAAACTTGAGGGTGTATTCAAGCTCACTATGTATGTCAGCGATAAAGGTGATTAGGTTGGACCTCTGGGGGACGCTACTCATCACCAGACTTAACTGCTTACTACTTATCTACTACTGTTGTTAATGTTATGAAGTTAACTGTGCCTTTTAACTCAGTAGTAATATTTGTTTATTAGTGTCTAAGTTGCAATAAAACTAATGGTATGTTTATAAAAATTTTGTAGGTTTTGCTGAGAACTACAGCAGGAGATATTGATATAGAATTGTGGTCTAAAGAAGCACCAAAAGCATGTCGAAATTTCATCCAGCTTTGTATGGAAGGTAAGGACAAGATGTGGTAGGATTTGTTAGAATTATTTAATGTGTACTATTGGTATTTTGATGACAGTTTTGGAAAAGATAAGTCATAAGTAAGTTTTAATATGTTAACTAATTATTTTTGTTACTTGCTACCCAGATCAAAAACATTTTTCAAGGTCATTAAGGAACCCAATGGAAGGAAAATGAACAACAATTTTTAGGTGGTTTTCTTGAATGTAGTAGTTGGTGTCAGATGTTTAGGAAGGCCTATTTTCAGGAAGTCTCTACAAAGTATAGCAGCTTTAATGCACATAGGAAATGTCAGTGATGCAATGCTTGGACATCCCCTGTTCATTCCTGCTTCACTGTTGTTACTCCCTGTTCATTTCTTCATGAGTGCTTTTAATGTTTCATTTGCAGTGGTGTTTTATTGACTAGAACCTTGTAAAGCCTTTTGCTGAAATAATGCACCTAAATGAGAAGTTCCATATTGGGAAAACTGTACAAAAAATGTGCAAAAGACCCTCTTAATTTATGCTTCCTACTCCTACTTATATACCATTAATAAGATTTGGTGAGAGTTCTTTTAGCTCTCTGATAAAGAAAAATAGCAGTGTGGAATTTGTGTATCCCAGACATATATAAGGTCTACTCTGTGCTCTTACTGATTATGTGAAGATGTGGATTTTCAAAAATATTTTTTGTAGCATTAAGTCTGCTTCTCAGCCCAGGGAATTACCTTAAGTTATCCTCGGTTTTAAAAAACTATGCCATATTTCCTTTCTGAACTTGCATGGCTACTCTGTTGGATCCTATGCTTTGTATTGTATGCTATAGTATTTCTCTAGTGAGTACTGTATAATATAACTATCCTTGAACATACAGAGCTATGCTGCAACACTGTCAGGTCCTGCTTTGTCTTACAGCATAATGCAGATTGAAAAAAGGAAAAAATAAAGTAAATATATGTCGAGTTGAACTTTTCATACTTATGTTTTCTTACAGTGTCTTAATGCTTATCTGGAGTATATGTGTGTGTGTATAGCGCACAGTAACAAGATAACCTGGGGAGCAAAAGACAGTACAGTGTAGGGGAAAGGGATGACACCTGTGTTCTGTGCCATTGAGTGGAAGTGATAACCATTTGGTGCATGGATATAAACAAGTATGTATGTGAGGTACTGGCTGGGACAGGGCGTAGTAGATTTAACTCTCCTTTTAAAGTGATATATACTGGTACTATCATTTGTAGTCCTGAAAATAAAATTACTCATTAATACAATTTTGTCAGTGGTATGCAGTATCTTCTGTGGCAGAAGCTTAAGACTCCTCTTTTTTTTTTTTTTCATAAATATCATCAGTAATGCTTTGTAGATTAGGTAAGGTACAGTCACGCTGAGCAAGTCAATATATGATCAGGCAGCTTGGTGGAAATGGCAGAATGCTGTTGTAGGTTTTGTTTTATAGAACTCCAGTAACTGATATGTCTGCATAATCTCTCTGGAAGTGTGATCTTTAGATAGCTTAAGTATGTTTAATATATTTTCTTTTTCTTTTTTAGAGTATTACAATAATACAATATTTCACAGAGTAGTGCCGGGTTTTATAGTGCAGGGAGGTGATCCCACTGGTACCGGCTCAGGTGGAGATTCAATCTACGGAGCACCCTTCAAGGTATGTAGCTATGTATCTGTGTATCTTGTGCATATTGATGTTTGGTTACTCTCTGTCAGTTGCCCTTCCTACTGTGTTAGGTTGTGAGAAAAAAAAAAAATTGTAGAAGGAATGCAGTTTCTTCTATAAGGAATGCTGAAGTTTATTCATATTCTGAATTTGCACATGCTTCAACATTCTTGAATGTGTATTTTAGAATTGAGTGTTCTTAAATATGCCTGTTCTAATTCTGTGGTAAGTGTATAACCTTATTAACATTCACTTCAACAAAATAAAAATAGGAGAGAAAATTGTTCAGAGCAAGTGCTTATGTGTTTTAACTTCGTGAAATTCAACAAGATCAAGTGCAGGGTCCTGGTCATAGGCTGGGGCAATGCTAAGCACAAGTACAGGCTGGGCAGAGAATGGATTGAGAGCAGATGTGAGAAGAACTTAGGGTGCTGGTTGATGAGAAACTCATCGTGAGCCTACAATGGGAAATGCAGCCAAGAAGGCCAGTTGTATCTTGGGCTACATCAAAAGACAGATGTGATTGTTCTCTGCTCTGTCCTTGTGTGGCCCCATCTGAACTACTTCATCCAAATCTGGGGCCCCCAGCACAAGAAAGAATATAGATCTGTTGAAGCAGGTCCAGAGGAGACCACAAAGGTGATCAGAGGGCAGGAGCACATCTTTGTGAAGAATGGTTAAGGGAGTTGAGCTTGTTCAGCTTGGAGAAGAGAGGAATCTGCAGAGGCAGTACAGAGGCCTTCCAGTACCTAAAGGGGACTTACAGGAAAGCTGCAGAAAGACTCTTTGTCTGAGAATGACAGAAGAAAGGAATATTTTGTGCAGTAGATTTAGATTAGACATTAAAAAGAAACTCTTAACTCAGAAAGTGGTGGGGCAATGGAACAGATGGCCTGGAAGAGCTGCGGATGCATCATCCATATTGAGTGCTTAAGGCTTGGATGGGGCTTTGGACAACCCAGTCTAGTGAGGGGTAACCCTGCCCATGACAGGGGATTGGAACTGGGTGATATATAAGGTCCCAAAGCATTCTATGGATCTTTGTGGAAAACTGAGGAGCAGAAATGTGAGTTGTTCATGTACATTTTGTCTGAATAGTCAAAGGTATCTGAATGTATATGTAGTCACTAGTATTATTGATAATGGCACATCACTTCTCTTGGTTAGGACCTTCAGATCCTGAGTGAAGTTTCACATGCACAGAAGCTGTGCTCTAGTTCTGGTTGAGTCTTTCAGATAGGGTAAACATCTTTAGCTGGTGACTGAAACTATGTGACCTTTCTGGGCCATCAGTCCACCTGCTGCAGTTGTAATGCAAATCCTGCATTAATGCATATCTGCAGTTTGTGGGAGAGGTTGCTACGTGAGCAAATATCAAAACAAATACTTCTAATAGTGTAGTAATAACACTTATTTAATATTTTTGTTAAGTGTTAAAGAAGTTTTATACTATTGTGTTTTACTCATACTGTGTGTTACTCATCACTGTCATCTTTATTTGATGCCCTCTTCTGTCTTCTCATGGTCCTGAAGATGTTCTTCCTTTGGATTTGAGTAATACTGTACTATTGCAAAGCTTCTGAACTTCTCGTTATTTTACATGGATTAGAATTTCTGCTAAATGAAACAGTTGACTAGAATAATGGTTTTACAGGAAATACCTGTGATGCAGTTACATTAAGAAATGCTTTCTTTTTCTTTTTTTCTTTTTCTTTTTTCTTTTACTGTTCTATAGAGCACTAATTTCAACAGAAATAATGATTAATATTAGGCAATACTTAGAAAAGGGGAAAGTTATCTTAGCAAAACTTAGTTTATCTTGAATTGTGTTTCTGCTGTGTATTGTGTATCTTCTATTGTGTATCTTGTTTTTCTATTATTGGCATAGTAGCTTCTAAACTTTTTCTTCAGATTTTGTTAATTGATTTTGTTTCTGTTTTGATTTTGTTTTTGTTTTGTTTTGAAATAATTTTGTTTGCTTATTTGTGATGATATAGAAACTGAGAAGAAAAGATAGACTAAAAATTGTTTCTGTTTTGAGCAGAAGTTTTAAATATAATCTTGTTACTAAGGTATAAATGACCAGTTTTATTAATGCTTGAATTTCTAATTTATTTGAACTAACAGTTTATTTTTTGTCAGTGTATGTTAATATAAATATATAGTAGTTAAATACTTCTTTTTATCTTTTCCAGGATGAGTTCCATTCACGATTGCGATTTAATCGAAGAGGACTTGTTGCAATGGCAAATGCTGGACCCCATGATAATGGCAGTCAGTTTTTCTTTACACTGGGCCGTGCAGATGAACTTAATAACAAGCACACGATCTTTGGAAAGGTCTGCTACACAGAGTAGTCTCAGTTTGAGCTTGCTAGAAGCATGTATATGTTTCTCTATCATTGAAGGTTCTTGTAGTGTTGTTTGTGTTAGATATGTATGAAATTATTTTGCTTCATTCTGAGCTGCCTGCATTCTGTCTGCATCTCTTGGAAATGTTTCTATGGGTTGTTGACATCATTATCTACTTTTTACTGTTTGTCTTCTGAAAAGAAGTGTTATGCTTCCTTTTAAATCATCCCTTACTAGAAATATGATAACTGCTTTACTAGTCTAATGCTAATAACATTATTTGTTTATTTGTTTACATTTATTTGTAAGCTGTAATAACTTAAGGAAAGTCAGGAAATTAAAAAGCCTAAGATGAACTTACCACTTTCATAGTTCATTCAAAAGAAAGTAAAGCTACAATTTTTGTATTTCAGTATCTTATTTTCCTGCTTTACAAGTCCCAGAAAAATTTTGACGTCTTCCTCTGCTCTCAGAAATGCACAATTTGCTCTTTCTTATGTTCTTTCAACTTCGCTGTTAATTTAAAGATGAAAAGCCAAAACCATTGGTACGCTGTACTTACTCTCTTTTAAGTGATTTATATGCCTACAGTATTTCCTGTATCACTTGTATTTTCAAATTCTTTACGTAATAATTGCCTTGTGTTTTGCAGAAGTACTTAAGTACTTTCAAACCTTTCCTGTGCATTTGGTAGGTTACTGGAGATACTATATATAACATGCTGCGGCTAGCTGAAGTGGAAGTTGACAAAGAGGAAAGACCACTCAGTCCACATAAAATAAGAAGTAGTGAGGTAGGGATGTTGTTCTTTACAACTCGTAGTTTTTTAATTATTTCATTTGTATTACTAAGAGAGCTGTGATCTAGTATGAAAATCTGGCATGTCTTTTATGTATTGCTTTTAAAATATTGAGACATTTATTAACAGTGCTTACTAGGGATGTGACTAAAATATTCTTTTTTTTTAAAGGTTTTGTTTAATCCATTTGATGATATTGTTCCAAGACCAAATAGAAAGCTGAAGAAGGACAAACCAGAAGAAGAAGATAAGAAGCCCAAAGTAAAAGGCACAAAGTAAATACATGCAACATGAGCAGTAGTTAATTTTCTTTTACCTTGAAATAGCAGCTTGGTTGTTTTTTATTTGAAACAAAGGCTTAACAAAAATGCAAGAAGAAACTGCTGTAATGTTAGCAAAAAACCCTAGTTTTTTTTCAGTAGTTATTGTGCATCTGCTAAGCTATAGCTCTTTTGTGCGATAGTTTGTTGCAGAGGAGAGAGAATACAGTAGTGTAAGCCATGGGCAAGAAGAATATGCAATCGTTTGTAACTGATGCAGAAGTTAATGCGTGCTAGTAACTTGGGCACAGTTCTTTTAAATTTTTAATTTATTTTATCAGCTAACACTTGCTCCCATTAAAATGCTTTCAAATTTCAAATACTTTTTAAATGCATTCATTTATGAACAAAATTTGGTAGATTTACTTATATATGAGAAGTAATAGGAATTCGGTACTATGTGCATGCTTTTGGTTCTGTTGGACAGAAGCAGACTGTATTGCAACTAGCTTTTTCTAATACAGTGCATAAATAATTTTGAAGAAAAACCCTTAAAGATCATTATCTATTCTAAATACATTTGTGAAATTATATTTGTGGTTGCTGCTTTCCTGAGCTGTTGCATCTTGAGAATTTTGTGTTTACTGCTGGAGCGTTGCTGTATTAAAAAAAAATAATAAAGAGCTGTTGGCATTTATAAGTCTCTGGAAGCTAGTCAAGGCAGAATTTTAAATTCTGTGTGACTTTAAAGTGACTTTAAAGTATGTTAGTTTGTAACTGTCCTGTTTGTTCTGTCTCAGGCATAGAATAGGGACGTACAAAATGGAAGTTGCATGTTTGAAGTTTATCAAATGATAATTAAAATTAAAGTTTTAATAGGAAATGTGTTTTCTCTCTTAAAGAAATTTTAACTTGCTTTCATTTGGGGAAGAAGCTGAAGAAGAAGAGGAGGAAGTCAGCAGAGTTAGTCAGGTATTATACTAAATCATCCTCATTTTTATTTTCAACTTAAAATTATCTTTTTTACATGCTAATGAAATATTTTAAAGTCCTTTGTATTCTTTTTACTTTTGAGTTTTAAACAATAATATTAGAAATTATCTTTGTTTTTATAATCCTACTATTTTGATTTCTAGAAAAAAACCTTGAATTTTTTCTAGTTTAGAAGGTGCCTTCAGTTATTGCATGATAGTATTTACAGAAATATAAAAATGGTTCCATTTCTCATAGTGTGGCTGTGTAAAGCTATTTCTGCTGTCTAACAAGGTAATAGGTACTTTTTTCTTTTTCACTTCCTTAATTACAAGTAAAAAACTTGAGAGTTGAAATATGTCAACTTCTTCATTACCAGGGAATTCTCGGCTCTGTTTTCTTATGCGAGTATATTTTGTACAAAGAATAAGGCAGTATTATTGTGGGAAAATCATCATGTCATTGTAATTAATATGTTGTTGTAATTAATTTTAAAAAGTTAAATAAAAAATAAAAACAGTTACACTGTTACAAATTGTCCAAATTCACAGAACTTGGATGGTATAGGTATTCTTTAATCTAATATCTCCTGAACGGACTTTGCCAAATTACTTTAAAAAATTGCAGGTTGCCATCCATGTTTCTACTATTGACCAAATTATTTCTTGAGAGCTCAAGACATTATAACTGATTTGTACAGCTCAGGTACCAATTTTTATTAGTGATGAGACTACATTATGCTAAGTTCTGTGCTGTCGTAATGAAAATTATCCCCAATCCTACAGTGAAGTACAGAGGACAGCAATGAGTACAGTAATGCACAGTGTTACAGTAAGATGGTGGCAGTTAGGTTAGTAGCAGAGGTTTATCACAGTATTTTAACTCTGATGCTTCCTTGTTTTGACTTAGCCTGTCCAACTAACTATGCTTACTTTCCTTAAGAGCATGTTTGTCTGACATTTTGCTATATGTGTCTGTTTTTCAGTATTGCATTCAATTTGTTTGCTGTGTCCTTCTCTTTTACTCCAAATACTTGCGCTTCATTTTAAAATGATCTAGATAAAACATCTCTTTCATGACAAGTTCAGTTTCAGTGTTGTCATGCTGTGAAATTCTTCTGTCAACTTTTTAGGAGTTGCCAAATGCGGTAAAATTGCCAATTTAGAAAAGTCTGAAAAAGTAACTAATTAAGCAAAGCTACAGTGTCTGTCCAAGAAGTCCATCCAGAATGCTAGGCTCAAGCATACATCTGTTACAGTTCAGGCAGTGTCTGAATTCACAGGCCTAAGAGGAAACAGTGCTCATGGGCAGAGCAGGTCCAGGTAAGACTCCTGAAGACACACTGTAGTATATCAGTGTGCTTTGGGACCTGACAGTGTGACCCCCACTGATTGTCACCTAATGTTTAGGCTGAAGCTTTCACTGTCCAAACTGCATTTAGTTGTCTGTACTTGTTTGGAGCAGTTTACAAAGGTGCTAAGCGCTTGTCGTGTTTCGTAGAATCATAGAATCGCCAAGGTTGGAAAAGACTTCCAAGATCAACCTTTCTGATCATCCTCATACCATCAATATTTCCCCACTAAACTGAGTCCCTTAGCATAACTTTTATATGTTTCTTGAACATCTCCAGGGACAGTGACTGGGGCACCTCCAGTGCCTGTCCACACTTTCAGAAAAGAAGTGTTTCTTAACATCCAACTTGAATCTCTCCTGATGCAAATTGAAGCCATTCCTTCCATTCCCATTGCTAGTTATGTGGGAGAAGAGTCTGACCCCTACCTCGCTACAACCTCCTTTCAGGTCATTGTAGAGAGATGCAAGATCTCCTGAACCCACTCTTCTCTGGACTTAACAGTTGTAGTTCTTTTAGCTTCTCCTCGTAAGTCTTGTGCTCCAGACCCCTCACCAGTTTTGTTGATCTTCTCTGGACATGCACCAGGGCTTCCATGTTTTTCTTGTAGTGAGAAGCACAAAACTGAACACAGTATTTGAAGTAAGGCCTCACCGGTGCTTACTCCAGAGGGATGATCACTTCTCTGCTTCTGCTCGCCAGGATGCTATTGGCTTTTTTGGCTACCTGGGCACATTCCTGGCTCATGTTTAGCTGAGCATTGACCAACACCCCCAGGTCCATTTCTTCCACACAGTCTCCCAGCGACTCTGCCCCAAGCCTGTAGGACTGCCTAAGGTTGCTGTGGCCAAAATGCATGACCCACCCTTGGTCCTGTTGAACTTCATCTCATTGGCCTCAGCCCAGCTATCCAGCCTGTCCAGATCCCTCTGAACGGCCTTCAAATAGAATCAGACAGATCAACACTTCCTCCCAGCTTGGTGTCGTTTGCAAACTTAGTGAGGGTGCACTCAATCCTCTTGTCCAGGTCATCAGTAAAGATATTGAACAGGAAAGGCTACAATATCAACTCCTGGGGAGCACCATTCATGATGGGTTGCCAGCTGGATTTAACTCCATTTACCGCCACTCTTTGGGAGTGATCATCCAGCCAGTTTTTTACCCAGCAAAGAGTGTATCTACTCAAGCCCCCAGTTGCCAGCATCTCTAGGAGAATGACAAAGAAGACAGTGTCAAATATAACACATAAAGAAGGTGTTGATAAATCAGAAGGTGATGTTATTATCCACACTACTACTGTCTTCCTGCAAGGATTATGTTCTTTTGTAATTAGAAGTGTTTATGCTTACTACTTAGGTTAAAACTAACTGGAAATAAATAATTTTTTCCTTACCATTGCCTTTTTCTGTATTCCCTTAAACACTGAAATTTGTAACCTTTTTTTTTTTTAACAGAACATGAAGGGAAGGAGTAAAAGTAGTCATGACCTACTGAAGGATGATCCACATTTGAGCTCAGTTCCTGCTGTCAAAAGGTTAATACAAGTTTTCCACATTCCAGAGCAGATCTACTTTAAAGATGTTAGACCTGATGCAAAGATACTCATTTTATGTCTGTCACTGTTTAAGTATGAAACGTTTTGCTGGATTGGACCAAATGTTCCTCTAACTCACTATGCAGTTGCCAGCAGTGGATATCCAGCAATGGGTGCCCAAGAAAGATGAAAAATAGGGCAAACGTATCGTTTTGCTGAATAGCCTTACAACCTCAAACTACTTTCAGGTCACAGAGCTAGCAGATTTTGATATGGTTCGTCTAATTAGTAACCCTTACACGGGCTCTCTTCAAAGTATGCAGTGACCTCTTATAATGTTTTTTTACATTTGCATCTTACTATCCTACTTTTGCAGAAGGAAGTATCTCTTTTTTTGTTGTGTTTTCTTTTTTGTCTGTTCTGTGTTTTTTTTCTGAAACATCATGTTACTGGCCTTGTTTGGTAATTTCTAATTCTTGTTTGGAAGAGACAATGAGCAGCCAGTCTTTATATACCTGTTTTTACTATATTCCTTTCTTAGGCCATTTCTTTTCCATCTGGATTCCTTAAAACCTTCTCAGGTTTTCTTCACAGAAGAATTCAGTATCCGTTATAATAAGCAAGTTATTCTTGTTTCTCTTCTCTGACACCATTTCTGTTCTGAAATATCATTTTGCTAGTTTTTATTTGAATCTAAGCAAATTAAAGATGACATTTAAAGACATATACTTGCATAAAGACAGTCTTCAGTTTGTCCTCTATTTTTTTAGTCCTTCTAAACTTCTGATTTGCTTTTTAAGCCATTGTTTATACACTTTTCAATGGAATTATCTCAGCACAATATTCAAAGAATTCATGATTAGTGCTGGTCAACTTCAAGCTCCTTGTCCTGTTTGTGGAATTCTTTTTACACGTCTTTCTACCTGTATACACTTCAAATTTCATCTCACATTTTACTGTCTTATCTTTCTGTTTCTTCTGCTGTTCATTAGTCTACTCTTGTCTGTACTGTTCTGCATGATGTAGTATTATTAAAAAAATCAGTAGTGCAGTTGCTTGCCTACTTTGTTATTGAGTTTGATGAACAACTCAAGACCTAGTACGCAATAGTGGATATAAGTTAGTAATCTTCACTGCATGAAGTGTTGGTTTGCTCCTGACTTTTGTTTCCTGTCTTATAACATTGAATTTATTAGTGCAGAGGCCTTTTCTCTGTCATCTCAGAGCTACTTAGTTTCCTTAAAAACATTTGACTAGAGAATGTGTGAGTGCAAATGTAATAAAGCAGACAGCTCATCTGCAGCCACATGTAGCCCTTTCTGCCAGAGGTTAATAAGACAGTTTCCTCTACTGCTATAAAACCCACAAATTACCTCATACTGTGCGTCTGCTTGTTTGGTACTGACGTCAGAACAGAATTGTATTAATTCAAAATATTTTCTTTAATACTTTCAGATGATTTTTTTTTTTAAGTTTTATTAAGAAAAAATTACTTCCACAGAAAGTTTTTGATGTTAAATTCACATCAGTATAATGCAAATAAAACACACCTATATAAAAAAGGCTTTCTTAAATACAGAATATTTGCCATGAAATGCTAGGAATGTATAAATGAGATAAAAATCAACTATCTTAAAAGTGACTTTTGTTGTTTCTTTTTCTTTTCAGCAGTACAGTGCGAACAGTAGTCAGAAAACATGATGGCATGCCCGCTTATGTATATTGTCTGACTAAATTATTATATGTTATTTAGGATTTTTGCTTATGCTTGTAAGATATTACACCTAGATTGTGTCCATTAATTCGTTATTGATTGGTCCAGATTGATTTCCAAGGCTGTTCTATAGTATTCTATTCGCTTGCCTAATCATAATATTTTCTTGATCAATAGATATTTTGACTTAAATTTAAAAAATAATTGTAATAATTAGTATAGTTCCTCATCTTTGAAGCAACTGTATACTTCAGCATTTTGTCTGAATATGGTTAGTAATAGAATGTGTCTGTGGCAGATTACAGTTTTATCCTATGATATTAATCTTTTTTTTTAGAGAAGATGACGACAAATGACAGAAAATACTATTAATTGGTAATGTTAGAATGAATGTGAGGATGGTGTAAATGACTAAGTTACCTAAAATTTCAATTAGTTAAAATTTTTATTAAAGAGCTGTGTTTTGAACAGTATTTTAAGTCTTCTCTGCTATTTTAAAGTATTAATTATTCTTTTTTAGTGATGCAGCAAATGAAGAGAGTTATTTGAGTGAGGTAAGTAATTTTTTGAATTATTATTTATTTTTACAAATAAGTCTTTTTTTCCTTATTGTATGTGATTTAACATTTTCCTGTGGGAAATAAGTGCTGCTTTTGAGGATTTTTAAAGCTAGCTCAAGTCAGATTTCCAGCAAAAACCTGTAACCCTTTCAGAGCTCTGAGGGTTGGCAGTTGTGTGCTTTTGTGTCAGGGTAAACTTGCTGCTGCATGCCACCTACTGCATTTTATGAAAACTTCTTAGCAGATATTTCAGTCAGTAAATGAGGTTGATTACCACAGAGTCACAAACCTTTAATACAAGCCCTGAAATTGCTTCAGGGATGGGAAAGGAATTAAGATTATATTTGTCATGAATGATGATGGAACACTAATCTAAGGGGAAGGCTCTGTATGAGTGAGAATGCTATTGGGAAGATTTCTTCAAGGGAAGAAGATGAATGTCTATCACTAAAAATAGCATTGATGAAGACTGTTATGTCTGAAAGGTGGGAAATTTAAGTAAGCAAGCAGTAATAAGTTGGATGTTCAAACATGGAGGATATTTTATATACAAGGAATTTTTTATTGATATTACGGAATAAAATTGCAAGTTGAAGTGCATATTTACCTACAGCCATGGATGATGGGCTAGATCTTTGAGTTGCTATCAAAACATGAATGACTGGGAATATAATCCTGTGTTCCATAAATTGAATCCTCAGAAGTACTTTGTTTTTCATATCTGTCTGCTATGCATAGGTCAGTAGCTATCATCTGTTAGCTGGTATTCAATGAGAGTGAAGGACAGATGCAGTCTCCCTCATCCTTGCACCTACACAAAAAGAAAGCAGCTTATTTCCATTGTATGTGCTGTTACCTCTTTTGCAAAACACAGTAGGTGCTCAGCTTCTTGGACACATAAACTCAAATTCTGCCTTTCTTCGAGCCATGTGCATGATCACACTCTTGTTTAAGCTGTGATTCTCTGCTGATTGGCTGTCATGCAGTATTTTGACACAGCAAGCCTGGTCATTTCATAGAGTGGTTTGTCTTGGAAGGGGCCTTTAAGATCATCTCATTCTAACCCCCCTTCTATAGGCAGGGACACCTCCCTCTAGTCCAGGTTGCTCACAGCCCCATCCAGCCTGGCCTTGGATGCTTTCTGGGAAGGGGCATTCACAACTTTGCTGGGTAGCCTGTTCCAGTGTCTCACCACCCTCATAGTAAAGAATTTCTTCTTAGTATCTAGTCTAAATCTATCCTCTTCCTGTTTTAAGCCACTTCCCTTCATCCTGTCACTACATGCCTTACAAAAATTCTTCTCCAACTTTTCTTTAGGCCCCCTTCAAGTATTGGAAGCCCTCTATAAAGTCTCCTCGTAGCCTTCTCTTCTCCAGGCTGAAAAGCTCCAACTCTCTCAGCCTGTTGTCACAGGGAAGGTGCTCCAGCCCTCTGATCATCTTCATGGCCCTTCTCTGGACCCACTCCAACAACTGCATGTCCTTCTTGTGGTGGAGACCTCAGAACTGGGTGCAGTACACCTGGTGGGATCTAATGAGAGCAGAGTAGAGGTGCAGAATCTCCTCCCTCCACTTGCTGATCACGCTTCTGTTGATGCAATGCAGGATCCCATTGGCTTTCTGGGCTTCAAGCGCCTAATGCCAGCTCATGTTGAACCTTTCATCAACCAGCACCTCTAGATACTTCTCATCAGAGCTGCTTTCAGGCCATTCTCTGCCCAACCTGCATGTGTGCATATGGCAGGTGGGACCTCATGAGGGCAGAGCAAAAGGAGAACAGTCACTTCCCTCTTCTTTCTGGCCACCCATCAGTTGATACAGTTGGCCCTCTGCGTTTCTGGTTTTCTTTTAAGGGAAAATTAATGAAGTGTTAATATATTGCCTTGATCGACTTTTGGATCCATAAGTAATAATCAAACTAATAGCATATTGCCATGAAACCTTCTGCATACCTTCCAGGGATTGAAGTCTCACTATTTCTGTTTTTTAAATGATACAGAGACATTCTTGAAATTATTCTTTGAAGTAATTTTAAAAATTGTGGATTTTTGCTTGTTGGTTTCTTTGTCTATTGTGGTAAAGAATCATCTTTGTAAGAAAAAGTTTATGTATTCAAGAATCTGTAGTTAAAAAGTAGAAAAAGCTAAGGAATTTTTTTTTAATGTTCTATCAATAAAGGAGGAAGATGAAAATGGTGAAGATGTTGACAGTGTAGAAGGTGAAGCTGCTAGCAATGAGAGATTTCAAATGAAAGAACGCATTGCAAAAAAGTTGAAAATGGATACAAGTGAAACTGCTAAACTGCAACTTCAAGAGGAAGAAACTAAGATGGAAAAGAAAATCACCAGTCGCAGGTAAGTCATGTAAAAGTCATACAGAAGTCATATAAATCATATATTATTTTTCTCCAACTTATTTTCAGTTATTTGCTGTTCAATTCCAGTTTCGTATTTACTGCATTTTTGTTTTAGTACTGCATTAAGTTTGTCAGCCTCCCTCGACTACGAAAGATGAAACTGCCAGTTGGTTTCTCAGTTCTTAGTTTAATTTGGTAGTTTAAACTTGAATCTAGTTTTTGAGAAAAATGGGAAAGAATACCTCTGGACTGGACAAAAAAAGATCAGTGTTAAATGGCCTTATTGTAGAATGGAAGGGAGGGGTCAGAAGTAAAGGAGATATCCAAGGAAAGCTTTCTTGAGAAAGGGTCTTTAGGTATATTTAGGAGGCCAAACATCTCTAGAATAGCAAAAGACATTGTGCTCTTCATGTGCTCTGTACAGCATTGGTGATGCCATACACCATGAGTACAGTGTTCAGTTTCTCTACAAGAAAGACATTAAGGCCCCGGAGCATGTCCAGAGAAGGGGCAATAAAGGTGGTGAGGGATTTGGAGCACAAGATGAGTAGCTAAGAAAACTGGGATTGTTTGGTTTGGAGAGGAGAGGGGGGACCTTGTTGCTCTCTAAAAAAAAAAAAACAACTAAATTTTTGGCAAAGTGACAGTTAGCCACTTTTCCTGGGGAACATGTGGTAGGACGAGAAATAATGGCTTTAAGTTATACCAGGTTGCTGCCCAGGAAGGTGGTTGAGTCACCATCCCAGGAGATTTTCAGAAGAGTAGGTGTTGCACTGGAGAACATGGTGTAGAGTGGTCACAGGCATGGACTGATGGTTGGACTAGAGGATCTTAATGGTCTTTCCAACCTTAATGATTCTAGGATTTACATTGCCTGTGTGTTCAGTGGTCTTCCAACCAATCTACTTAACTACTTGCTGGGTTTTGCAGCAAGGGCTACTAGATACAAACTTGTCTAACATGTAGTTGCAGGTTCTCAGCATGAGGTTGACATAAAGATTGTGCATACCCTTAGGAGTGCTTGCATTATATTTTTTCAGATTTCATAAATATTTGTACAAACAGTCTGTAAGCTGCTGGCTCTTCCTATGCAAGTACAATGTGTTTAGTCCGTGATTATTCCACTCTTTCAGGGAAGTTGTAGTAGTATCATAGCCAAATGGACTATCTTGTCTTTTAAGTGAGTTTTATTGGATGCTTTTTTAGTGATTGAGAGCAATAGCCCTGGGAGACACTGCTTAGTAATACAGGTAACATCAGTTTCTAGAATCTGTTATTTTCCAAATGGTAAGGCATCCTGTATGAAAATGAAAAGTGTGGGTTGTTTGATGTAAATGAGGTGCTAGTGACATTGGTTTTGATGAGATAATCAGCCGGTTATCAAGTTTCCCTGTCTAGAGTAGTGGCCTTTTTGTAAGTATAGTAGGGATGATTGATAATATTCTTGTGGGACTTCACCAGCCACTATTGTCCAAGTGTGTGCTGACAGGAGAAATGGATGAGGTGTGACTGTCAAACAAAAGCTTCAACCCACCTTACTTATCTTGAAGAGGCATGTCTAGTCAAATATCAGGGGGACAAGGAAATTCTTATATCAGGTATTGTTCACCTCATCAGATACTTAAATGTGCTAATAGAATAAGAGAATTTCTAAAAATATTTTTTTTCTGAGTAATGAATTTTAACATGCATGACTTGTTTTACAAATCTTTATTCATTTTTATTAGTCATCCTGTTTTTCACACAAATCCTTTTGTGAAATCAGAAGTATGCACATCTGTTTTGGAGAAACAATACGGAAATAATAGACACCTTCTCAAATTCATGGTACTGAGATCCACAACTGTTTCTTCAAATGCAGTTGTTCTTGGGGTGCTCAGATGGTGATGTTAGTTTTAGTAATTTCAACATCCTTTTGAGACTTTTGTTTACATAAAAAAATAATTTGAAGGCACTTTCCAATTTTATACTAGATAAAAAACTTAAGGAAAAAAGATCTTGTTCATTCTGGCAGCTCATTAGACAAATTCCAAATATCTGTTGTTTTTATAGAAAGATTGAACTTAAACTTGAAAATACAGAACAGCTGTGTAAATGAAAATATATACAGATAACATTACATGAAGTTTTAAAAATGTTAGTGTCTTGAGTAGATCAGCTGAAGGCTTCATAGTATATACTACTCTTTCACTTTGGCAGATTGAAACGGGTTTTATGTTTGTTCTTATCCTGTAGGTGGAGCTCAGATGCTACACATTTCTAGTTACGGGCTTTTAAAAATTTTCATTGCTTCTTGTTTGCAAAACACAGCATGCAAATAGAGTACAATGTCAATTACATACCTAACACAGATGTGCTATTAAACAGCAATATGAATAACTAATAATATAATAATAACTGGAATAACTGAACTGAGGAAGAAATGGAATTGAGTCACTTGAATTTAACTGTTTCTCTCATGTATTTTACTCCAAATAGACTATAGAGTGCAGCTAAACTAAGTAATGTCCTTTTCTTTTGGTTTGTAAGTCACCAACATAAGGAGATGAGTTATCTACATATATAATAAAGGAGTAGAAATATAGTTGCTATTACATTCCTTATATTTTCTTGTATACACATTGCACATTCCTAGTTAAAGTTCATGTCACCATAGGTTTCATAAAAATAATCTCATGAAGCTTCAGATATATACTGTGTATATGTAAGAAATTACTTGGTTCAACACAGAATCACAGAACGGCAGGGTTGGGAGAGACCTCAAAGATCACGAATCTCCAACTCCCTTGCCACAGTCAGGACCACCAACCTCCACATTTAATAGTAGACCAGGCTGCCCAGGACCCCATCCAATCTGACTTCAAACACCTCCAGGGACAGGGCATCCACAACCTCTCTGGGCAGCCTGGTCCAGCACCTCACCACTCTCTGTAAAGAATTTCCCCCTGACATCCATCCTAAATCTTCCCTCCCTCAACTTAAAACCATTTCCCCTTGTGCTGCAGTTATCAACCCTTTCAAAGAGTTGATTCCCCTCCTGTTTGTAGGCTCCCTTTAGGTACTGAAAGGCTGCAATGAAGTCATTCCGCAGCCTTCTTTTCTCCAGGCTGAACAAGCCCAGCTCCCTCAGTCTGTCTTCGTAGGGAAGGTGCTCCAGTACCCTGATCATCTTCATGGCTCTCCTCTTGACCCTCTCCAGCAGCTCCCTGTCTTTCTTGTACTGGGGGCTCCAGACCTGGACACAGTACTGCAGATGGGGCTTCACAAAAGCAGAGTAAAGGGGGACAATCACCTCCCTGTCCCTTCTGGCCACCCCTCTTCTGATGGAGCCCAGGGTACCATTTGCATTCTGAGCTTTCTGAGCACACTGCTGGATCATGTTAAGTTTCTCATCTATCAACCGTGTCGACCACACCATTCAGCTTGGTGTCACCAGCAAACTTGCTGAGGGTGCACTCGATTCTGTCATCGGTGTCGTTGATAAAGATGCTAAAGAGCACTGATCCCAGGACAGTACCCTGGGGGACGCCGCTCGTTACCGGCCTCCACCTGGACATGGAGCCATTGATGACCACCCTCTGTCTGTGGCCTTTCAACCAGTTTCCTATCCATTGGGTGGTCCACCCATCAAATCCACATCCCTCCAATTTGGAGATAAGGATGTGGTGAGGGACCATGTCGAAGGCCTTGCTCAAGTCCAGATGAATGACATCGGTCACGTTTCCCTTGTACACCAATGCCATTGTTCATCATAGCATAAATGAACAGAACACTTGTTGAGGTATAATTATCTGAGATGTTTAGTGGTTTTTTTTTCTCCATTTGTTGTAACAGGATGGAATGGCTATTTCTTTTTAAATGTGTCTGCACTTGCTTAAATGACTGCATACTGACTGTAATCTTGATGTCTAGGCACAACATGCTCAATAGACATGCTCAAGTTCATACTAAGATCATTTCAGACCATGCAATACAAGTTCTTTGAAAGTAACCTAGACTAAATGAAAGTACGTACAGTTAAGGCATCATAACAATTTTTACCATTTGAATAAATATTGACACACTGAGTTTGCAAGATTGATTTCCTGAAGTTCTTCATAGTTCTGTGGTGCAGAATAGCCGAAGTTAACTTTGTATGTGATCCCATGAAAAACTTTTTAAAAGCCTTTAAATAGAGGCTTTTCTTTTCTATCTGAATCCATAGTTGCTCTAAAAGAATTATTTGATATTTTTTCCATACATTAATAGTAAATGGTAGAATATTTTGATCTAATACGTTTACTGTGCACTTCTTACCTTGCGTTTATGATGCTGGCATACATATGAAAGGAAGTAAAATCATTTAGGAAACTGCCACAATTCTGGATTGAAAGAAATCTTTTAATCTTTGTAATTGTTGAAAATCTCTACTCTCTTTGTTGTTTGTAACAGTGGCATAGAAAAGTAACTTTTTTAGCATGTCTCCCTTCCCAGGGAGGGCATCCAATAGGTTATGTATCACCGTGTTCTTGATTGGCAGGTACAAACAAGTGTTGCTGTGTTTTATGTATCAGTCATCAACACTCTTAGTTTCTCTATCCTACAGTGTCTGAGTTTCCAGCTCCTATGTTTTACTGTAAAAGCAAATGTCTGTAGAATACAGACTTTTAATGGTTTTATATGTTTTATCAAATGCATGAGTTGAAGTATAAGAAACAGTTATTTTGCAACTGTGAAAGTTGTGTTGGATAGATTGTTTTTTATGATCCCTGTCTTGGTCATTTGTATATATAGTTCCATTCATCACATACTGATTATTGTTCTGTGAATTCATACTAACAATTTTCTTCACAGATGTGGGATTAAAGAGACTTTTTTTTCCAAGTTTGTGGACTAATAAAGTATTCTGATATAAATACATTTATTTAATATTTTCCCCCAAAAAACAAATTTTCTGGTGTGTTCCTCTTCAGAAATTAAGTTCTGTAATTGTAGCTTACCAAAAAATCAGATAGTTCT